GGCTCGACGAACGAGAAGGCGGCGGCGGCCACGACGACGGACCTGCAGGTAAAAGGCGATCAGCGCTACCTCGTGCAGCGTCTCGACCGCGGCACCATCTGCGACCTGACGGGCCGCGAGCGCACAATCGAGATTCAATACCACTGCATGCCGGGCCTCAAGAGCGACCGCATCGGCTGGATCAAGGAGGTGACGACGTGCGCGTACCTCATGGTCGTCAACACGCCCCGGCTCTGCAACGACGTGGCGTTTCTGCCGCCCAAGCAGACGAGCGCCAACCCCATCAGCTGCCGCCTCATCCTCGACACGAGCGACCCCGAGGCCAGCGCCGCGTGGCACCGGCGCAAGACGCTCGAGGCCGAGGCGGCCATGGTGCGCGGCGAGCGCGGCGGCAGCGGCGGCGGCGACGCGCGCTTTGCGGAGAACGCGCGGCCGGACCTCGACGCGGCGTCGTTCCGTCAGCAGGAGGAGCCCGTCACGGTTGGCGGGGTCCTCGTCGGCGGGCGCAAGGTGCTCAGCGAGGCGGACGAGGAGGGCAAGCCGCCGGCCGTGCTGAAGCCGCCGCATAACTTTCTGCCCAACAAGGCGCAGGCGGGCAAGCCAAAGGCTCCAGCGGCGGCGGTGGCGCCAGCGGCGGCCGACGAGGCCGAAGCGTACGAGACGGAGACGATCGCATCACGAAAGCACAAGGCCGAGGGCGGCGAGCTGTGGATCCTCTCGGACGAGGAGCTGGAGGAGCTGGAACTCAACCCCGAGACGGTGGAGGACATGCGGCAGGAGATTGAGAAGCTCGCGGGCGACAAGGGCTGGAAGCTCGAGGTGGTGGAGGCGCCGGGCGAGGCCCGGGAGCTGCGCGGCTACGTTGACGATGACGAGGATGATGCCAAGGCCAAGGCGCAGGCGAAAGCCAAGGCGGCGGGCCAGAAGGGGCCCGACGCAGATGAAGAGGACGGTGTGGGCAGCGAAGAGCAGTTTTACGGAGACTGGTGATTGTGCATTGTTGTTGCTGTTGCTGTACGAGGTACGAGACAGACAGTACCAAGTACCAAGCTTGCAGGGGGGCTTCTGGCTAGCATCGGCGTTACGGTTCGGGTTCGAAATGGCAGGTGTCACGATGGCTGTTGACGTGCATTACGTGACGCAGGTTTGGCATATGCTCGCGAAGCAATTGATGTTTGGAACCCGCAGCCACATCCAGCGCCCAGAGGACGTCACGACGAATTCTGCCTGCGTCTCCTGAGCCGATCTCGCAACAGTGTCTTGCAAGCGAAGCCAGCAACAGCATGAGCCCTGAATTAGTACACCCAAACGCGGCAAGGTGGCACTGGAGCCGAGTTGAGCCTCTGGCCCACATGCTGCATTGGCTTGCGGATACGGCCCCAAGTCCCAGCCCCAAGTCCCAGCCTCAAGTCCCAGCCCCAAGTCAGCAGACCACAATCTCCCAGCAAGCCAGCAAACCACAGTCTCCCAGCAAGCATCCAACACAGCCAGAGAGACAAGTACCGTGATCGGCGGGTACGAGCCAAGACGTCGTGAGGCAGCGCTGATTGGCCTCCCCCGCATTCAACGGCATGTGTTTTGCGAATCACATCTCGGACTCTTCCCCGCACTTTTGTCGTTTGAGCCGATGAAGAGGCGACGAGACGAACGGCGTTTGAATCAGGTTGCCCCGACAGCGCAGTTTGCCGTTGGCCGTCCTCGTGGCGACTGCCGTGGATGACTGGCCATTCTCTGACGACCCAGCCCAAGCACATGTACAGCAGTTGAGCAGTTGAGCAGCTCCAGCAGCTACAGGCAAGGAAAGAGGGGCCAACTCCACCATCGACCTCCC